CCCCTGGACTCTGCAGCAAACTCTACTGCTGTCCGTGGATCCAGGTCCACTGCGAGAAAGACACTCTTAAAGGAAGCTGTCCTCAGACGAAAGAGTGGTCATTCCCCTTCTCTGACCCCAGTGCATCACCACCACTTACCTTCACCGGGTCAGCAGCAGCGACCCGAGCCTGCTCCTCTCGCTGCTCCAGCGTCTCCGTGCACACAGCGTGGGTTGCCCGGAGCTGGGAATCAACACCCCCGCTCTTCTCCATGTGTTCAGCAGCGCCCTGGTTCGGACCCATCCCTGGATGAGCCCGCTGGTTCTGGCCATGGACACCGAGCGCCTTCTCCGCGGCCGCGTCCACTTTTCGCCCCGACTACTTTGATTATTGGAGATTCCATCGTGAGGCACGTCCGCTTTTTTAACGCGGTCACTCACTGCATTACCGGAGTTACAGTCCCAGATCTGCTCATCCGTCTCCCTCCTCTGCTTCACTCCCTGCCTGATACCATATCCAAGGTAATCGTGCATGTGGGTATAAATGATATGAAGCTGCAGCAGTCCGAGGTCACAAAGAAGCATTTTATGAATCTGTTCCGCCTTCTCCAGTCCTCCGGGTTGTGTGTTTTTATCTCTGGTCCAGTCCCGACTGTGAACCGGGGTGACTGCCTCTACAGTCGCGTTGTGGCGCTCAACATGTGGCTCCAGTCTACATGCAGCACTTTTAACTTTATTTTTGTGAACAACTTTGGCCTGTTCTGGAAGCGTCACGTGGCCTATCGTCCAGATGGTCTGCACCCGAACAGATACGGCACCAGTTTGTTGACGGACTTCCTGCGCCATGTTGTTCAGTGCTCCCCGAGGGGGGCGTGACTGTTTACATCTGAGGCTTCTCGGCCCCCACCACCCCCCTCCTCTTCCTTACCAGCACCGGGTGAGTACTGTGGTGCAAACACTGACCCCTGTCCGTCTGGCAGTGTAACGACAGTCCTGCCACTGAACTGTGCTGACTCAGTTATGCATCTGGAACTTAACAAAGTACAACAGAGTTCACTTTTTAAACCAATAGAGACTGTGTGTGTTCCTCGCACCAGCTCAGAAATGTGTTTTAACTTGAATAAACACAAATTTAAAAGAAGGACAGCAGTTAGACGGTCCAACTCTGGAAATCTAATTCCAGTTCTTTGTAATCAATCAACTAAACCCACTGACACTGATATTAATTTTAACCTTGCTCTACTTAATGTCAGATCACTATGCAACAAATCATTTTTAATTAATAATTTTATCTGTTCGTATGATCTTGATTTTATGTTTATGACTGAAACATGGCTTGACCATAATACAGGAGATGCAGTTTTAATAGAAGCCTCACCACCAAATTTCAAATTTGAACATGAAACACGAGAAAATAAAAGGGGGGGGGGGGCATAGCAGCAGTTTTTAAAGATCGTATTGTTTCCCATAGAGTGTCTCTTGGGAAATTTTCATCATTTGAGTATGTTTCTTTTAAAATAGAACAAAAGAAATCTTCTTCCATTCTTATTATTGTTGTGTACAAGCCGCCACAGTCATGCCATAGTTTCACTGATCATTTCACTGAGTTGCTTTCAGTTGTGTGCACAGATTTTGATGGTTTAGTCATTATAGGCGATTTTAATATTCATGTGGATAATGTTAATGACAGATACGCAAAAGAGCTGAGTTCCATACTTGAATCCTTTGGCCTCACTCAGCATGTGAGTGGCCCCACCCATAGCAGAGGACACACCTTGGACCTGCTTATCACGAAAGGGGTGAATATTTCAAAAGTTAATGTAGTTGATGTTGCTCTGTCGGATCATTTCTGTGTATTTTTTAACATGTGTTTTGCTACCAGACCACCCGCTAAATATGAAATTGTTAGAAGTAGACACTTAAATGAAAACACGGGTGAACTATTTATGGGAATGATCCATTTTGAGAACACATCATGTTCTACTGTAGATGAACTGTTTAACTCTGTCACCTCTAGTGTGTTGAATGTTCTGGACGCCATTGCCCCTGTGAAGGTAAAAATGGTCACAAATAAGCAAAAAGCCCCATGGATAAAAGCAGGCCCGGTCAGGGCACAGAAGCAAGAGTGCCGGAGAGCAGAGAGAAAGTGGAGAAAGTCCAACCTCCAGGGTGATTATAGACTCTTAAAAGAGAAGTTGTGTGAGTTTAACAGAGTACTACGTAGAACAAGAGAATTATACTTTTCTGAAACTATTGAAGGCTGCAGCAACAATCTGCGTGTTCTATTTTCAACAATCAATAGATTAACGAACCCCCCTGTTGAGTTGCCATTAGAACACTACTCCAAATCCAGGTGTAATGAGTTTGCACAGTTCTTCAGAGACAAGGTTCAGGGTATCAGAAATGCCATCACCTCCACAACACAAGTAACAATGCAACATCCAGTGAGGCTTTGTGAGCTAGCTCAATTTGCACCTGTCAATAATGAAACTGTTAAAAAGATAATCACAGGTCTTAGTTCCTCTACCTGCAGTCTGGATGTACTACCTCCTAGATTTCTGAAGTCTGTTATGTGTAGTCTATTACCCTCATTGACACAAATAGTAAACATGTCTTTTTTATCTGGAACATTTCCAATGGCCCTGAAAAAGGCAGTCATTAGGCCCCTCCTAAAAAAGAGCAGTTTGGATGCTGCGGTACTTGAAAATTACCGTCCCATCTCAAATCTGCCTTTCATGGGAAAAATTCTTGAAAAAGTTGCCTACCAACAACTTACTGAATTTTTAATATCTAATGACTCATTTGACATGTTTCAGTCTGGCTTTAGACCACACCACAGTACTGAGACCGCTCTAGTCAAGGTAACAAATGATATTCGGCTTAACACTGATGCAGGAAAAGTCTCTGTTTTAGTCATGTTAGATCTGAGTGCCGCTTTCGACACCGTTGACCATGAGATTCTCATGCAGAGACTGGGAGGACTGGGTTGGTGTTGCTGGTACCGCCCTAAGCTGGTTTAGGTCCTATCTAGAAGAAAGGAAGTATTGTGTGGAGATTGGAGACTATGTCTCAGATAATATGGCCCTGACCTGCGGAGTGCCACAGGGGTCGATTCTGGGACCTCTCCTGTTCAATATTTACATGCTGCCATTAGGTCAGTTAATTCAAAGTATGAAAGTGTCCTACCACAATTACGCTGATGACACTCAGATCTATGTCTCACTGACTGCAGGAGAGCATGGACCGGTGGACTCACTCCTTCGCTGTATCCAGCGGATCAGTGAGTGGATGCAATGCAATTTTCTCCAGCTAAATGCGGACAAAACCGAAATGATTGTCTTTGGTCCCGAGAAACAAAGAGAGACCGTCATTTGTCACCTTCAGTCTCTCTCCCTAAGGCCTTTAAATAAGGTCAGAAATCTGGGAGTAATAATGGACTCTGACTTAAACTTCAATAGCCACATTGGATCGGTAACATCAGCAGCTTTTTATCATCTGAAAAATATTGCCAAAATTAAAAATATTGTGTCCAGGGCAGACTTGGAGATTCTTATCCATTCTTTTGTTTCCAGTAGGCTGGATTACTGCAATGGCCTGCTCACAGGTATCTCCAAACATGCAGTAAAACAGCTGCAGTATATTCAAAATGCTGCAGCCCGAGTCCTGACTAGAACCAGGAAGTACGACCACATTAGTCCGGTCCTCAGGTCTCTGCACTGGCTTCCCGTGGCCCAGAGGATAGACTTTAAAGCAGCTCTCCTGGTGTACAAGTCTCTCCATGGCCTTGCACCAAAGTACATCCATGATATGCTAGTCCCATATGAACCAGCCCGGACTCTGAGGAGCGCAGGGACGGGACTCCTGTTAGTGCCCAGAGTCAGGACTAGACAGGGGGAGGCTGCTTTTCAGATTTATGCAGCTAAAGTCTGGAACAGTCTTCCTGAGGATGTGAGACTGGCTGCCTCTCTGTCAATGTTCAAATCCATGTTAAAGACTTTTCTTTTTTCCCGTGCATACAACTAGAGAATTTTATCTTTTTAACACACCTTGTTATTTATTGTTGTAACTTTTTGTGTTTTTAACTATTTTATTGTTTTTAATTACTTGTGTGATTCTTATGTTTTTAAATTACTTATGTGATTTTAATGCTTTTTAATTACATATGTGTTTTTTAATTGTATTTTAATGGTGATGATTTGTGCATTGTGTGGTGTGGACTGTGAGGCGCTTTGTGTTGCCCTGTGCAGGAAAAGCGCCCTATAAATAAAGATTGATTGATTGATTGATACTTATATCACAGAAACCTTGTCCTTGAATCTTCCCTGAATTCACCAGACTCAGGCCACACATTACACACAGGTGTTTTATGCACCTAATGATAATCATTAGTATAAAATATTTCATGGATAACATTTCTGAAATCTACATCAGACGCCAGGATGATAATATTTTAGTATTTTTTCTGTCTATAGTCAATGTGCAACACCCGAGCTGTAAGGTCCAAATGCATCATATAATTGTTCTTTAAGATAGTCCAATTTCTTTTGCCTTTAGAATCACGGTTTAACAGGATAATTCCATGATAAATAAAATCATCCATTCATCTATCTTCTTCCCCTTAATCCACCAGCCCCTCCAAGATAAAAAAACAGTTCTTAAATAAATATACGTACGTTATATTCCATCACTGTGCTTTAGTCACTCACTGTAGGAGTCGTAGTTACTCTGGGACCGCAGCAGATGCATTATTGAGCAGATGACCTCAGTGTGTTTTCAGAGGCCGTTTGGGTGTGGTCTGTCTTATTCAAGGAGATTTAATGGATCGATTTTTTTTTTTTCTGTATTTTTAGCTGCGACCGCTCCAAGACTAATAATGCTTTTGTTACGTTTGATTTTGTAAGGTTGGTGTTGTTGGTCAAGTCCAAAAAATGTTGATGATATGGTGTTTGGATTTTTATTGTAAACGTCCGGTTGTTCTCTGCATAAAGAAGTGACCATTCTCTCTTTGTTTTCTTCTGCAGACTCTTCAACCTGACTCTGAAGAAGTTGATCATGTTGAAGGAGCTGGACAAAGACCTGACGTCGGTAGTTATCGCCGTGAAACTACAGGTAAATATCAGCCTCATCCAGAGAGTAGTTTATTTGAAAAAGATTGTTTATAAAGTCAATATAGGAGAAAGTTTGCAGTCATGTCATGTTAATTCTTAAGGCGCGTTCAGACCAAAAGCTTCAAAAAGCTTTTGACGCGCTTCAACTGACGCTGGGATAGTTTTGTCATTTTGGTGCTTGAAGCTTTTGACGCGAGTGACGCGCCTGACGCCGGTGGGAGGAGCTTCTCTGTTGTCTGTAGTCAGGACAGCGGTGGATTTTTCAATGAGCAGCGAGCCTTTATTTGTTATACAAAGCAAAATAACGTTGTTGTAGGGCTTCAACAAAACATGTTCTGGGTTCACCACAGACTTGAGAGGCTTCAGTGTTTGCAGAGTTCCGTCATTTACTCCAGGAGCTGCGTACGGAGGAGTTTCGCTTTCAGCGGTACTTCCGCATGTCACTTGCCCAGTCTGAGTTCTCAAACCCCGGCACTCGCCTCTCCCTCGCCTCTCCCTCGCCTCTCCCTGCCTCTCATCGGCTCTCGCTCGCCCGGAGCTGCCTTGCTCTGAGCCAGACCCATCGTCAGCCTGTTCTTATATTAAATAAACTAAGTTTACTACACAGCATGTGTACAATGAATTTTGTTACTCAGAATGTTACTACTCATACAAATAATATTACTAATAACAATAATGACAATAAAACAGCAGCAGCAGATACATGACTTCTCTTCATGACAGAGACAGACCCTCTGCTGCTGCTGCTCCTCGTCTCCTGATTGGTTGAAGCCCGCGTCAAAGCTTCAAAAGCTCAGCTTTGCTCAACTTCGGCGTCAAAGGGATTGTTTTGATACGCGAGCGTTTCGCGCGTCAAAAGCTTCAAGTGAGCGCGTAGTACGCGCGACTCTTGAAGCTTTTGACGCGCGTCAAGTGACGCCGGGGCTCTCGGCTTCACCTGACGCGCTTCACCATTCACTTTCAATGGAAACCTGACGCTTTTGACGCCGAAGTTAAGTCCGGTATGAACGCCCCTTTAAAGCTCATTTTAAATTACAAGTTCCGTATCACTCGGCCATATCACTCACTATAGAACCAAACAGCATTCAGCACAAACAGTTGACTTAGTTTTGTTATAAAGTTAGTTTAAAAGGTGTATTATTAATTGGCAAACAGACAAAATATGTATGTTTTTGTGAATTTTCGGAACTTTGGCTGGCTCTTGGCTCATGAAGTAGTCCCTTTCTTCAAACATATGTTGATAAAGTAGAAGACGATATACTTTTTGTTGTTGTTTTGACCATGATATAAGCAGATTGAATAACATCCTTACATAACTACTTCTCCTATACCTTGACCAGGCCTGGAAATAATAATCTTGCTTCTATGTGAAAAAAAAACATCTCTCTTCCATCTATCCATCCATCCATTTTCTTCCGCTTCATCTGTTGCCGGGTCGCGGGGGCTGCAGTCAAAGCAGAGCGCCCAGACTTCCCTATCAACACACACTTCCTCCAGCTCTCTTCCCTTTTGCAATATTTTTGTTCATGAAATTAACTAACATGGCTTTCTCAGAAGAATAGAAAATTCTGTACATTTTAAAAATTTGTTTTGTCAAATTGAAGAAATAATAAATCCTTCAAACCGGCCTGGCACTATGACCACTATGGGAAAAGAATTGCCCATCCCTGATTTAGTCCATAAAACTATTTAGCAAATGGTTCCAGATTGGGAGGTTTTCATCTGTGCTTCTGGCCCTTTATTTCGCCTGTGTGTGGCTGAGCTTGTTATTGCTACAGGAGCGTTTTTATTATTCTATTATAATGTCATGTGTTTTGATTTTGTATCTGTTTCAGGGCTCTAAAAGAATCCTTCGCTCAAATGAGATCTTGTTGTCGTCGGCTGGACTCACAGAAACTGATCTGCAGCTCACTTTCTCACTGCAGGTTTGTGTCAGGGCTATTATGTGAACTTAGAATGTCTTAAGTGGATCTAAACTAAAGTGGGTGGAGACGTATTGAAACTAAAGACTAGAAACTAGACCTGCACTAAGCCATAAACCAGTCACAGTCACAGCCAAGGAAGGTTTCTCACCCATCATCTGTACTTCTTAGTAGGTTTTTCCCAAAGTTTCGTCCTTTGTCTAAAGGACTTCTTCAAGGAATAAGATCTCAGACTGTTGGTGATTTATAACCTACCACACCCAAATCTTGATGCTAACTCATTCACAAACTAAGGTCTGTTTGATTTGGAAGGAGGCAGGTCTATCTGTGTTTTCCTATACCTTACTAAAACAGACCTGTTGTATCCAAAGGTAAATTAGAGCCTGTGATGTGTCCTGCACTCGCCCTATCGTCTCCCATAACAACAGCACTGCTCATTATCAGTCCCAGTGCTGCTGACATCAGTCTTTAGCTTTCAATTAACCTCTGCTAACCCTGGTAGTTTAATATAATAAACTGTACAATAACACCTCACCTTTAGCAGTGCTTAGAAACGCACCAGTGGGAAAGGATCATTAGCACAAACTCTTTCTATTCTCAGAGAGACTTTGGGTAAAAATCAGCGGACTAAAGTTTGTCCACAGTCACAGTTCTGACCTGGAGATGATCCTGAGGTCTGAAAATGTCATGATCTAAGAAATACACTGCTTTGTCAATTCAAAATACCGGAATTTGCTGGCGTGTATGTATCAGGCCAGTAAGAATAAAACATTTTGATGGATGATATTTTTCCAAATTTGTGCCACTGTTCAAAATTAAATACAGCTATAAAAAAACTTAAGTTACAATGTTGTAATAAGTTATAATAAAAATGTTATATAAGTTTTATATAAAAAATATTAAGTTATAATGTGATATAATTAAGCAGCTGAGGTTTATTAAGGAATAAATAGTATTTAAAGTGTATGGTATTACAAAATAAAGGGAAATCATCTCTTGTTATAACAAAAAAAAGTAAAAATGATGTAATAAATATTAATATTTATACAGCAGTCATTGATGTGACAATATGACAATAATAATAGACTTGAACTTAAACGTAAATCTTTATCTTTCTGATAGTAGCTCAAAATGATCTGGGAGACAGACTTGTGCAAAATCATATTTGGCAGTTTTCAGTTTAAACTGGAGTTATTGGTTACATTTGGCGTGAGGTCCATAATATTTAAGTCAACGATTTTCAAGCAGATAATCCAATCAGAGAGCAGGATGAGGCCCTCGTTGGGGTTGCCAGTTTGTAACCAGCAAAACATCATCTATCTTTTTATTCTTTTTAATCAACACAATTCACAAACATAAACATAGCACCACACATGTATTAAAATAACAGCAGGCACAAAACTGAAGTACTGAAGTTAACAGTTTGAACAGTTTCTCGCTAAACTCCAGTAGGAGGTGTTTTACTAGTGTATTATTTTGCATCCTTGCACCGATGGGACTGTGCAACAACTACGGTATATTCTTGTGTTGTAATTGTGTAGACGATCGCCCTAATGTTGAGGGTGTCTTGTATATTTATGTCACACAGCACCGTGAGCCTAAGACAGATTTCCCTGTGGGGATAAAAAAGTTGAACCTTGTTTGCATCAGAAATCCGTGCTTAGGGGCTTCATGTGTCACAGGCAGGAAGATTCATGCAACATAAGTGTGATTGTAAAGACATTAGACCACTAAGCACATATTACTTACTCCCCCTTTAAAGGGCAAAGTCAAATTGGACTCTGTATTTTCCAGTATCCACATTTCCTGAAAAGAGACGCCAACAAACTGCAGATAATGCTTCAGAGACGGAAACGATACAAAAACCGGACGATCCTCGGGTACAAGACTCTAGCGTTGGGGCTCATCAACATGGCAGAGGTATGTGTGTTTTTCTACAATTCATTACTTTAATAAGTAATAGTTCCACTGTAGCGTCTGTGCTGTGACCCCGAAAGAATAAGTGTTGTTCATTACCATCCGTACACGTCAAAACCATAGACTGATAATATCAACGGACGTACAGTGACGCCTATCTCTGCCGTTGAAACTTATGTGTTATCACTTTTGACTCCTGCCGTCTTTTGGAAAATGTGAAAAAACGCATTTGCGCCGGTACGAGCTCCATTCATTTAACAACTGCATTCAAAAGTCCACAGCGGCTAAACTAGAGTGGTCCAAAAAAAATACCCCCCTCAGCATTGACATACATCTGGTAGGTAGCCGACTTTTGGACCATCCTGTAAAGCCGTTTTCAAGAGGAAAAAAGAAGTCAATAGAATTCTTGTTTCCGTGTGTGCGCCACCACTGGCAGGGAGTGAGATTGCAAGTATGTCGACGTATGAGCTCATGGACTTTTTTGAGCTAGGACCCGCCCCCACTGGTCAAAACACTCATCCTTGTTGTTTAAGATGTCAATATAAAAATACTACCTGAGAAGAAAACACACAAATAAACCTGGTGGCTGCCGCTGCTCTTAACCTTTGTTTACATGCGTTTTATTCTTCGTTTTAACAGAGACTATTTTCAAGTTTGACTGAACATCATTTGTGTGCCCTGATTTCCCCATCTCCATTTTTCAATTATTTGTGGCTGTGTTTGGATGAGCGCCTGTGGAAATTACCATAATGGATTTTAAAATGACATTCGCTGAAAACCTGCTCTGAATCCAAACGACGGAGACAGAAATATGTCCTTGAGAAGAATGGGAGCACAGTGCCCCTGATGCAGAGACATGATTTACTTAAAGGAGACATTATGGAGAACGGACTTTTTAGTTTTTAATCATATTCTGGAGCCTCTCACAATAACACTCCCCCCTTCCGCCTCCCCTCTGTAAAGTTTTTTTTTTTTCATTGCCAGATACTGTGAATTTCATCCATCCATCCATTTTCTACCCCTTAATCCATTTCTGGGTCGGGGTGTAAACCATCTCACCTCTCTGTGGATCTGACTTTTAACTTCAATAATGCTTTATTCACCTGTATGTATATGCTTACACAGGTGAAACTCTGAAATCTAAAATATTTTTCTCAAATTCAACATAAAATGTGAAACTATTATGACATAGATTCGCTACATGCATGTGTCTTGTGCCTCTCTTAGTGATAATTTTGAAGGTATATCCTACAGAGATATTTGAATTGGGTTTTTACAGCTGTGAAGCAATCCTCATTATTATAAAAAAAAAACAAATAAAACAAAGGCTTGATAAATCTCGCCGTGCGTGTAATGAGCCATCGATACCATTTTATAGTTTGTCCAGGGGCGTTCTGGCTCCAGAGAGAGAGAGTTAGTGGGGGCAGGGAGGTGTGGACTGTTGTACATGTTTTTAGTGGTAGGAGAAACTGGAGCACCTGGAGGAAACCTATGCAAATACTGTACAGGGAGATCATGCAAACCCTACACAGAAAGAAGGAGGACTCAGACCTGGGATCTTCTCTGCTGAGCAAGCGCTAACCACTGCACCACTGTCCGCCCATTGTTGATAATTTCCACAGTTTGAGTCCATGTCTATACTCTCTGTGTCTATACTGCCCGTGTCTATACTCTTTGTGTCTATACTGCCTGTGTCTATACTCTCTGTGTCTATACTGCCTGTGTCTATACTGCCTGTGTCTATACTGCCTGTGTCTATACTCTCTGTGTCTATACTGCCTGTGTCTATACTGCCTGTGTCTATGTCTATACTCTCTGTGTCTATGTCTATATTTCCTGTGTCTATACTGTCTTTGTCTATACTGCCTGTGTCTATACTCTCTGTGTCTATGTCTATATTTCCTGTGTCTATACTGCCTGTGTCTATACTGTCTACTGCCTGTGTCTATACTGTCTATGTCTGCACTATCTGTGTCTATACTCTCTGTGTCTATACTCTCTGTGTCTATACTATCTGTGTCTAATATGTCTGAATGGAAACCAGGTGAAGACACTTTCTATCCCCCTGTCTCAAACTCCAATAATTTCTTATCATTTGCTACTTCTCTTTTTCATTATTCAAACTGTTTCATTATGGCTCTTTCTCCAATAACCTTCATTCAACCTTTTTCCCAAACTCAATTGTAGGAAGTGCACTTTGCAAATCAAAAGTGGCTCTCTGGTCTCCTGCCTGTTCCGTGTTCACAAACATAACTGTAAATCAAATGTACGAGTAAGTCTGAACCATCTCCAGCCAAAAGCAGCTCTCCGTAAAAGATGCTTATAAAGGAGCAAAGATTTATGACAGTTTTGACTTTTTTTCACTGTGAGACAATGTTGGGAATCAAAGAGGATTTATAGGCGTCCATTACAAATATTCCATCCACACCTACTAGATCTGTATGAGTTTACCTAACTTTCAAACCAACTTTAACCAAACTATATAATATAATCAAAACAGTTTGGTTCTTCCACTAATCATTACATTTGTCAAATGCATGTATTTTTATTTTGAACTTTTTCTGTTTTTAGTCCAAAGAGTCAAGTAGTGACTCTCAAGTACCTCCACTTTTACCTCTCTGATCCCGAATTATAATTGCAATTTAGAACATGATTGACAACTTTGGGGGCCCTGTAATCTAGCTTTATTTTGGACTGTGTAATAATTATTTCAAATCATTTCCATAAAAATCAATATTGTGATGTCATTACCTTATTTGGATATTGAGGTGTAATTTAAGACCATTTCCTCTATTTTTTTCCCTGTGGCTTATGTAGCGATTAGCAGGGATGGTTAAAATGACAGTTAAAACGTCGTCTTTGTTTTGCTCCATCAGCTGTTCATAAAGTGTTACATTGCAACACAAAAACCTGCAGCTTATATGTGGACAAAATGTACTTTCTCTTTAAATTCAGCGGTGGCGGTTTTTATATACAGTAGGTGCGCTTGATAGTCCAGCATGTACCGTATGTAGAGATAATTTTGAACGAAACTTATATTGTTATAATCCTAGTTTTTCTTTCCTGTTTTACTGCCCATTTATGACATGTTTTACTTTTGACAACATTAATCAATATTAGTATGGTATTATTTTTGTATTGTGTCTATTGTGTATGTATTTTTTGCATAATATACTATAAATATTATCCATAAGGAGAGATGGATTGTACCGCGGTATAATCGGAGTTTACACCTGTCGTTCCTGAACAAGAAAAACCATTTGTTTTATGGCAATAGTGAAAAAAGGCTGAACATTTGGTGTGTGGGTTTGAAATTTTACATTTAAAAGTGAATTTCTGTGACAGCTGTCACTCCAGTGTCTGTTCTGGTATCTTTATCTCCAAATCTTTTCTGCTATTTTCCAGCAGGTGAAATCATGCACGATTTATTCATTTATTCAAGAAATTGTTAGCGACAAAGTTCACAGGCTACGGACACAGACAGCTGCAGCCCAATCATCTCAAAATGTGTGAAAAGCAGGTTACATCATTTTGTGAATTTAGCCAAAAAGCACAGTCCATTAAAGCTGGAATACCTATTTTTACCCACAACAAATGCGGCACGGTGGGGCAGTGGTTAGCGCTTGTGCGGGGTTCGATTCCACCTCCAGGCCTTTTTGTGTGGAGTTTGCATGTTCTCCCGTGTCTGCGTAGGTTTCCTCCAGCTGCCCCAGCTGCCCCGGTTCCCCCTATCACTAAAAACACATACAGTATAGGTCTGGCCATCTCTCTGTGTGGAGTGAGAGACAAATGCCTAAAAAACAATTGTGATATTTGTGACTCTGGTCTGTGAAAGGCGCTATATAAATAAAAGTTACATACAAATAATAAGCTCATAAGTTTAGTTTAGTTTAGTTTATTTATTTACAAGGGACCATGTACAATTATAACATAAATGTTGCCATTTGATGCATTGCACCAGAGTTAGCCTGAGGCTAATTTACATCTGCAGTCCCTGGCAGGGAACGGACGACCCATAACAGAAAAAAGACAAGATTCACAAGACAAGGGGTCGACCAGGAAAGACAAACCACATACAACATTACAGATTCATAAAACCCAGACAAGACACATCAACAACACAAATACAGACAAATAAGTCAGTACCAGAGGGAGTGTAAAAACCAAAGAGGGCTGGCATGGCTAGTGTGTACAATGCTGGCTACTTTTTATCTGCTATAACATCCATGTAACTATCTCCTCGCTCTCAAAACAGTTTGGTTCCATCTATAGTTTTCACATGCGTTTATTTTTGGCCTTTGTCACATCTTTAGATCAGATTTTGCAGTGAGAAAGAGAGGACCAGCCCTCATCAGCCAATCAGCTGTCAACATTTGTTTTGTTCACAGAATGTTACCCAATCAATGTGTGTATAAATGTACCCCTGAAACAAAAAACGGCTCTGTATCATTCGAAAGAAACCAGACTTATTTCAATCACCACTAACCAACCTGGAGATGTTTTTTGCTTTTTCTTCTATCTAAATGTACACGTATTTAGAGGTTAGAGAAACCGGAGCACCTGGAGGAATCCTATGCTTACATGTGGGGGGCCATTTAAACCCCACACAGAAAGGTCTGGAGGTGGAATTGAACCCAGGACCTTCACAAGCGCTAACCACTGAGGCACTCATTTTTACTCCTGAAACAAATGCGGCTTAATAGTGTTATTATTTGAAAGAGACCAGGCTAATTTCACACGACCGTTAAAGATCAGTGACGTCATTGTTGAGTTGTTGCCCATGTTAAAACTACATTCCAGTTTTGATTTTGATTATTTTATTCAAGCCGTCTCCTCTGATAACATTGTTGAGCAGGATCTCTCGATAGACTTTTTTGCCGATCTTGAACCGAATGAAAGGGAAACTAATTAAAGCGCTCGGGCTCGGGTGTAAAAACTGCGATAAGAAAAGTTAGTTCACCGCCGCTTGTTCTATTAAAAATGCAGAGTTATTTACAGTTATT